CAATACTTATACTGGTTATTCAATCTATACAACAAACAGTCAAAGTAAAAGCATAATTATAAATAAATACAAATCCTATTTTATTTGTTTTTATACAGCTTTTAAATTATAATATTTATAATTTTAACTTATTAGTAATACCTTAATATCAATACTATATCTGAGTAATAGAAATTTACATTTTCATTTGTTATAACTAATTAATCATATTGTTATAAACATTTATAAAAATTTTAACAAAAATATAACAGTTTATTTTTTAAGATACTCTAATTGCTTTATCAAATAAATAATATTATAATTATAAAAAAAGTTTCTTTAAAAGTATTATTGTTCTATATTAAATCAATTATCTTAGTTTTCAAATAATTTAATTTGTCATATTGGATGATTGAACTTAATGTTAAATTGAACTATAAAAATTTTCAACATAATAATTATTAAATTTATAAAAATTCATAAAAAAAGTTAATAACCATTTAAGCAATAAGATAATTAATACTATTTCAATAAAACACAACATTTAAAAAGACTAATAGAAGCTTGTTGTAATTTTTTTGCTTATATTAATAAAATATATACCAAATGCAAAACATCATTTCTCAATAAACTAACTAATTTCTATTACAAAATATAAAGAGATGAATGTCCAAGACTAGTAAATAAAATTATTCAGAAAATTTATTAGATATCAAATTTCAAAATCTTTTGATTGCTCAAATTTCTATAAAATAATTAAACAAACTTGAGATTAGTTTTTAAATATTAATTTTAGCAAAAAATTTATTTTGTAAGATTTTGACTTTTTAACCAAAATCTTCTTATCTTTATAAATATCAAATAAAGTTTTTTAAAAAATTATAATTAATAAGAAATACAGATTTGTAATTATTTAAGGATGCATATAGAAACCCAATTATTAGCACAATATAAAGAACTTATTACAGCATACCAAATGAATCTCTATGCTTAATCCTATAGTTGCCAGCATATTAACATTAAGTTGTCTAGGATAATTTATAAGTGTTACTATAATTTGGTTCTTTAAATATGTTTTTATTTCATCTATGTTTGTCAAACTTTGAAATACATCTATATAAATTTTTAATAAATGAAAAGTTTCTATTCTTAATTCAATAAGCTTAGTATTATTTATGCTTTAATATTTTCTATTTTGTTTAATTCTATTATTATAACTATAAATTAAAAGATATTCAATTTATTCTTCATATATTTTAGATACAAATATTAAATTAATAAATAATAATCTTTATACTATATAACTATATTATAAATAAGAAAAAAAATAAGTATGTATTTACAATAATTATTTTTACATCAATATTCTTTTAATTTTAAATACTTTTATCTTTAATGTTTGGAATTAATACTATATTTGGTAAGGCTTTAAATAATATAATAATAAAATAAAAATATTATGCATTGTTGCAGATTATAATAAAATTTAAATTATGATAAGATAAGAACTCTGATTGGTTAGAGATAAAGTGATCTGCAAAATTTGGCCAATAGGATTTTCTACCTTACTATAATTTAAATCTTATAATAATTTATGACATGTATTAATATAAATTGCTATAGTGGTATTTATATATATTGTGAAAATTATCTATATTATATATGTTTAATTTTCTATTTTAATAAAAAAATATATAGAGGATGGCAATCCTAGTATAGTGGTTGGATTGTCATCCTCCAAGTGGCAGGTCTAAGGTTCAAATCCCATCTGTGATGAAATTTGGAAATTAACCTATGTTATAGCAAACTGTCTCTTGACAATCAGTTGGATTTGTGTATCTATAACCTTAAGTTACACTATCTCGAATGGGAGCTTAAGGCATCTATGCCAAGTGTAATGTTATATGTACATAAAAAATGTTAATAACCAGTGTTGCATAAGACTTTGGTGCAAATCCACGATAAGACCACTAGGTATAGTAAACTAAGAAACTGAAGAGTTAGAAGCCTACTTGGAAATTTCTAAGTAAAGAAATAGCATGAACTTTCAATAATATGGTTAGACTAATAGAAGCTTATGAAACACCCTCAAAGGAATAGATGAATAAACTGAATATCAAAATGTATAGAGAAGCATATGACTAATCAGGCTGCCAGAATCACCAAAAAAAAGAATACATAAGTATATTATATTAGACTATCTGAATTGAAAGTTGGAGGAGTCCTGTCAGTTCTGAGTAGTAGTTAGTAAGAGATGATAGAGAAAATGTTGTGATGATAGGTACTGGGATTCTAGTAAACTTTACAAGAGTAGAAATAGTATAACATAGTAGTTAAACAGACCTCTGTGACTGCAAGTATTAGATAACTATAATGTATTGCATAAAACTAAATCAGATGTGTGTAGGATACAGAAGGTTCTAGTAAGTTTCCTATTAAGAATAAACTAGTTCTAAAGGTACTTGAAGGCATCGGGTACTTTGGATAGGTGTAGCCTTGAAGATGCCCTCATAAGACATGGTGGACTACATATACAGAGGGTTTAAATAGACAAGACCCATAGTTGGCTTGCAGGTATGGCACCTAGTATAGAACCTGTATAGTAATGTATAAATAGACTACTTAAATTAGGCACCAAAAGTGCATGTGTGGCTAGTTGTAACCTCCAATGTAAGGGAGCCCTAGAGGCACCCATGTCCAAATACATAAATAAAAACATCAACTTCCATAGACAGAGACTTTAACTAAAAAAAAATATATATATATATAATTAATGAATATTAAATTTATATAAGAGGTTACTGAATAATTTATTTGTGTAATATAAATAAATTATTTAATAATTTATAATATTCTATATATTAATATTTTTTATTATTTATATAATTTGACAAAAAATTTTATCTGTTATTATTTATATTTTTACTTGTTGAGTTTTTTATCAAGCAATTGTCATACTATATTGTTAAGTCAGTATTAATTAAGATTTTTATTACTAATACTATTGTCTCAAATTCATCTAGTAAATGTACAATCTCAGCTTTAACTTTATTAATAAATTTATTATTAAGACTTGTAAGAAAATAACAAAATGAACTCAAATTATTTAATTTTTTATTAATCATATTATTTTTAGTTTTTAGGTTAGTTTTAACTACTAATTGATTAAAAAAAACCTTTAATTATGATTTGTTTTCTTTAAGTATTTTTATAAATTTATCTAAATTGAGAACAAGACCTTTATTATATACATACTGTCTTGTATATAATATTCCTGCTATTAATTTAATTTTTTTATTTAAAAAAATCAATTTTAAAAAAAGATTATAAAATTGTTTAATAAAAAAAAATTGTAAAAAACAATCAAGAATACAATAATAAATAAAATTTGTTTAATAAAAAAAAAATTGTAAAAAACAATTAAAGATACAATAACAAATATAAATTATTTAATTATCCAATCTTGTTTTATTAAGCTCTGCATATACTTCATAATATACAAGTTTTAGTTTCTAAAATTCAAATTCTGTATAAATAATATTATTCTGTAAAACATATAATCTATCTTAAAATTCTTTTACATTTTCTTTCAAAATTCTTTCTGATGCTAATAGATAATTAGATAAACTAATATGTTCTGAATTAATGTCAGTTTTATACAAACAATAATAACATATTACTACCTCCTATGGTAACTCAAAGAATTCAACTAATCATTCTGGAGCCTTTATGAAAATCTATAATTATTTGCCTGTAGAAAGATAAAAATTATGTTTGGCGTATAAACATATGTTAGTTAGTTTGATCTTTTTTGCATTTACTATAAACTTGTTGTAATGTTTCTGACACAAAGCCTTTCCAACCAAGTTCGAATGTTGACTCAAACTTAGTATCATTACTTTTTCAGATATGATAGATGCACCATGCTTTGCATAATTATACTCAATATTTCCATGGCCTTCAAATTGAAATACTGAGCTTTATGTTTACTACTTTTCTTGCTAAAAAAGAGATGTAATTTCGTGAGTTTCAGGTGTGAAAATACTACTTTTCTTTCTGGTAACAAAAATGCCCAATTGTGAAAAATGGTTCTTAGCTAAGTTCCGAATTACCAATCCAAATACCGAATTGCTTAGTATATAGAATGAAACTTCTGCTTTTAAATTATATTGGTCTTATCCGTACTCATGCTTAACAATCCATTTTTGTGCTTGCGAAACGTTACGCTAATATGAAGAACATATTGTGTAACATTTCGGTCGATCATCCAATCAGAATTAAAGCCCTCTATGCTGTAGTATGGTGCTACGAAATTTTTCGTAATAGAATTCTATTATTACATTTTTCTTGCATAATACTTTATTAGTAATGACAATAATTTTTAGCTTAGTTGAGCATAGTAGAATAACTATATCAAGGGTTATTCATTGTAAATAAAGGCAAACACTCTTTCTCGCTCAATAAAATAAATGGACTTTTATTACTTTTATTTCTTTGTTTATTCTAATAATTCTAATGCTTACAAACTGAGCCGATATATACTCAAAAGTCCGAGGGCGATAATACATGCATAATATTTTTAATTAAAACTGCGCAAGACGAAATAATATACCAAGTTATAAATATTTACTCTTTCAAATTAATTTTTTTAGAGTGCTGTTTTCATATGATATGAATTTACATTTCCTTCTACATAATAAAGTAATAATGAAGATCTCCAGCATTACAAAAGTTGGTTTTATTGCATTGTTTGATTTAAATATATGATCTACTTGTGGCTTAAGCCGTAGTAATTTCTTCAGATAAAATTCCAACTATAACTACAAATCTTGCGTATTTCATGCACAGATTATCTTTATGCCTTATTAATTTATACTAATTTATCAATGTGTATAGGAATGCGCAGGCCGTGCTGTGCCATTCTACCGGATAATATTTGCTGCGACTTTATTTTTTGTCTATAAAACCTCGTTTGATTTCTCTTTATTACTTATTTTCAATATTTAATATTATTTAAAAATATGCAAAATAACGATTTAACTGAAAATAATACATTCAAGGTCGTTTTAGATGATAATGAAAATTGGAAATGGGTATGCTTTGATGAGTATTGTAATCGTTCTGGCAAACCAGAACGTCAAGTAAGGATTGAAAGTATCAATGCCAATCCTTTTGTGGTCGTTTATCCACGTGATGGTAACCCATATGTTGAATTGAGTTCACATAAATTGATAAATATTTTGAAAGATATTCTTCCTAGCAAGAAACTTCTTTTTGATGATAATTATAATTACAACTCCTGTGATGAGTCTAGTGGCTGGGATGATGAGTATGCTTGTAGTGTTTGGGATGATGAGGATGATTGCCCCAAGGGTAATGTTTCAAAACCTGAGGCCAATGAGGGTCCTATATGCAAGATCAATGCTCGAGATTTATTTCATGTTATGAAGGAGTTAAAGAATGCAACTAGTAAGTAATTTTGTTATATTGATATAATTTATAATTATTTGAATAAAATAATAATTATTATTTGGTCATATTTTAGAAAGTGTGACTGATTTAGAGTGTAGTATCCACCTAAAACGCTTGATCCGATTCCTTGAACAAGAATACAAAAAGACGATAAAAATTCGTAAAAAGATGATTGCAAATAAAACTGTTTCGTATGAGATGTTATGGGTATTTTATACTGAAAATTTGGATATATGGTAGTAAGTATTGCTTCCTGCAAATTGTAAATTATAAAAACAAACTATTTCTAATTGCACTAATTTTTGTTCTTATAGCCGGTGCGCCATTTCTAAGCAGCAGGTTGGAGGTGTCATTGTCTCAGTAGAAGATTCTGGTGTAAATTTTAAGATAAATATTAAAATAATCGAATATGATGGCATCGGATTTAAGCATTGCCAAATAGTCCGTGAAATCAATCGTTTCGATGGTGAAGTGAGCTTCTCTGATTTGCCTGTTGTCCCAATTGAACTTTCTATAACTCAAGATTTCTTAAAGGAAAATATAATGACAAACGGAAAGCAATTTTTTAATCTTGCCTCAGGGCATCATTTTATGAAGTATGAAGGTCCGCTACTTCGTGACCGATGTATGTGGATAGAGAAGATTAGAGCTGATGGTCGTGTAATGGTTGACCTTCAAAGTTTTGCGACAATGAACCCTGATTATCAAATGGGCAATGCAAAACCACCGAATAAATGTGACGTTAAAATACTCAAAGAAAAAAATACTTATATCGAGCAGAATAAACTTCATCAGGATTCTAATTATTTTCTTGCTCCTGCTGTAGTATATGGTTTTAGTTTTACAGTAAAAGAATGGGGCCTTTTCGAGATATCTAAATTTTCAGACATTACTTTTGATACTGATGCCCTTAGTCAAGTAGTAATGCCCGAAAATAAAAAAAGAATGCTTGAAGGGCTAGTGAGTCAGTATGCTGATACAGTCCAGAAGACTATTAGCGATAGTCCATTTGAGAAATCTTTAGATCCTATTTCGAATAAAGGTAATGGATGTATTTTTCTTTGTTATGGGCCTCCAGGCACTGGAAAAACCTTGACAGCTCAAAGTGTAGCTGAATTTTTAAGACTGCCACTATGGGTGATTACTGTACGCGAACTTGGATCATCGCCTGAAAAGTATGTGTTTTTCTTTATATGTGAACGGTGGAAAGAAAAAACCTGTAAATTGATTCAAGCACTTTCACATTATCGGATTCAGCCTTCGAAGAATCTGATTCTATGTGATTAATTTTAGTATACATAATTTCTTCGTAGAAAATTTTTTCTTCACTTGATAATCAAAACCCTTCTAGTTGGAACGATTATAACGATCGATTTTACAGTATTTTGTTATATTTAATGCGAAAGATTATTAATTAATTTACAAGTTTTCTCTTTCTATCATTCATATCAGCTCCATTTTAATTCAGTAGTTTTTTTTTCTATTCTTATTAATATTGTCGTCTTATCTCTATTCCTTAATAGGTTAGAAAAGGAGTTAGTTAAGATTCTTGATATCGCTCATATATGGAAGGCCGTCATTTTGCTTGATGAAGCTGATATTTACCTCGAAAAACGTAGCACAGTTGATCTAACTCGCAATACATTGGTTGGAATATTTTTACGTCTGCTAGAATACTATCAAGGTATTTAAATTATATTATATTATTATTTATCATTTTATATTTTATTTTTTTAAAAAGATTTACCAAGTTTATTTTCTATTAATTTTCCTTTTAGGTGTCATTTTTTTAACAACAAATCGAGTCATAACTTTCGATGATGCAGTATGTTCTCGAGTTAGTATGTTCTTTCACTATCCTAAACTTGGACCAAGTGAAAGACTTCAAGTCTGGACCAACTTTATTAAACGTGCCAGTCTCCCCCTCAAGGCGGATGACTTTATTAATTACGAATTGAACGGCCGTGAGATTCGTAATGTTCTTCATACTGCACGATTATTGGCCAAGAATGAAGGCAAAGATTTGGCTTCAGACATTGTAATTGATGTTATTAAAGTTATCCAAGATTTTCGACAAGTAACTGATGAAATGGATGTTGATATTTAATTTATTTATATAGAAATAATTGTTCAATAACTCGTAAAAAATAATTACCAGATCGAGTTTTTAATAATAAAAAATAATTTATATATACAAAGAATATTTAACTATGACTTAACTAGACGTTGCACATGTGGGCGGCTTTGCCAGCCTTTTGAAATTACTATAACATTAAATACATATGCAGATAGTTGTAGCTAAATACGTTGCTTTAATGTTTCAAGAAGAAGGTAATGGTTAGTTAGATTTGTTTATAGAGAATGGAAAATGTATTATAAATGAACTTCGAGCGGGTTGGGTTCTGTCAGGTTTTTAGTACTTGAACTTTATATGCTAACCATTCTACAAACCAGTTTCTTGTCTTAATCTCAAAAAAAATAATTAGTGTATTTTGACCTAAACTAGTAGTTCATAGCTGGCCTGATAATGAATTGTGAATAAATTTTATAAAAATAAATATTGATAATATTTCAAAATGTAGCATTAGAGTACAGTTTAATACTGAAATAGAGATTAGATATAATAGTCTAACTCTTAAGTTATATGAGGTTTTCAGAAGTTTGAACATTTTTATTTAACTTATTTGATTACTATTTTTTATCAATTTATTAAGATATGGATAATTATTTTCGAACCCGGACCAATTTTATATATGATGTAATAACATTTCTGTCTGGATTCGAAAATAATTACCCATATAACATCATGGTTATGGGTGCCGCCAAGTGAAAACCTGAGATTCTAAAAATAGATTTCTATAGACAACGGAATGCGGGTTTTTAACTAATCTGACTAAATAATAAATTATACGCTTTTTTTGATCACATATTAGTATTATATAAAGCTCGTATTTTTAGAATGTCAGGTTTTCACTTGGCAGCACCTATATTAATAACTCTGGCATAAATTATTTTAATAATAACTATTGGTAATCTCATTAAGCTTGATATACCAACCTGATACATTTGAATTAAAAGTAATAACTCAAATTTTTATATATTAGCTTGCAATCTAATAAATATATTTAATATTTGCATATTTATCTAATATATTTATAAAAAATATATATATATTTTATATAATAAAGTTAATTATTATAAAATTTTTTAAAATTTAAAAATTTTAATAATATATATATATAAAATAAATATCTAAATTTATATTTTATATTATATTATTTAAAATTTATTAATTATAAATTTTATATACTTGTTATATAAGTATATTTTATATAAAAAAATTATGTTTTTATTTATAATTTTAGCTAATAAAATTTTCTTAAACTTTAAAAAATTTTTATACTATATATAAAATAATAGATAAAATATAATTTTTTTTTTTTTTTAACTTTGGCAGCCTTGCCGTAAACCTTTATTAAGATTCTTGTACATATGTTACATACATTTTAACTTAAATTTCTGGTCCGACATTCTCCGGCTACTTCTTTGAGTGCTCAGAGGCAGTCTGCCGCACTGGTTGGGGATGTACCCAGACCCAGGGGCTGTACCAGACTAGCCAATAAGGCCATATGTAAATGGCCTTGATTTATTATAAATAAAATTTGCAATTGAGCCAGACCATGCCTTGTGTATTTCTATTTTTTTCTCCTCTTTTTTACTTTCTATTGCCTTCATGGTTTGGCTCTTTTCTATTCTAACAGTCTTTTCTTTAGTGTTAACCTTGTTAACTTTCTTTGTTGAATTTTTTTTCGTATTTTTTTTTTCCCTTTTCGCCTTCCTATCAATTCTTATTTCTTTTTTCCATAGAATGAAGACTTTACATCGTTTTTTTCATATATCTTCATAAAAGCAATTCCATGCTGTATTAATTGTTGTTGAAACAAACTTTTTCATTTCCTTATTTGAATTTAATAGATTTCGTAGTGATTCTACTGTTGTTTCTAGTATTAGGCCTTTGATTATTCTGCACCTTGCTTTTATATTTTCTTCTGTTTGTGTATTCCAAAATACTTCT